GGGGTGTCCTGGGGTCGTGGTCTGTCCTCCAAAGAGAGGCCGCAGGGCGAAATGAGCAGTGTAGCACCAAAGTTTGGACGGCGAGCCAGGGTGCCTAGAATCTGTGGCCGTGAGAGGAAGAGTTCAGATAGCTTCGGCAAGGTGCATATGGGAACAGTTGTGGGTTGTCTTGGATGAGATGGGTCAGTCGGTCGGCAGACTGAGATGGGTAGATCAGCAAGAACCGGAATGATTGGCGCGAGCTCACCTGGGGAATGGGCCTAGTTGACTACCGGTAGGTAGGTAGGGTACAGGAAGGTACCAGAGGCACAGGCTCAGGAGCCAAGGGTGGACGGAAGTGCCGGTCCGACCTACTTGGCAACTTGGGTAACTGGGAGAAGTACTCGATAAAGTTTATTTTCGTCTCCTTGTGCTCCGTACTGCGTCAGAGGAACGTCGGGGCCAGAGAGGGGACAGAAGGTGTGATATAGGAGCCCAGGTGTAATTTATGGCGTGGGTAACTGCGACGAGGACTTCCTCGCGATCACGACTGCGGATACAGTGATCACTCCAATTGATCGCCTGTGCCTGGCTGATTTGTTTGTTTTGGCGGCGACAAGTGAAGAGTGATGGATCCAGTCCGTGTGGGAGGTGGGCGGGCGGGCGGCGCAAGATTGGTGAAGTGACTGCTAATGTATGCACCGCACTGCAACTGGTGGGAAAGTGCAAGTGCGACGAGGAACACGCTCTGGAAGGTGGATGGTGGGGGTGGATACCGAGAGAATCTTGGCTAGGAAGCAGGCACACTGTATCCGTAGTAGTGCTTTGAAACATGACGCTGCTGTGTTTCCGGAGTACGAATAGTGCGTGGGATCTTTCCCAGTATAGCCCACCTGCCGAGTGTACGGATAATTGAATTAGGTAGTTTCCGTATCAGCAACGAGTCAACGAGTCAAGGGCGGCCCCTCGCATGCCATCAGGCACAGACCATGACAGTGCTCCCTGTCTCTTTCGCTCTCTTTCTGTCCATCTCGTATTGCAATACCTGACTTAAGTCTGACCAAGAGGAAAGGATATCACACTGAGCACAGTGATGCGTATGCCATCCGACAGGCATGGTGTTTGGACCATTTGACAGCTGATTGTAATGCAGTCGGTGGACCCTGTGTGCGCGTACCTAGGTAGACTGCCAAGATAAGTACGATATACATCGCCCCCTTCCAGAGTATTGTGGGTACCTACCTCTTCAGTACTCAGATAGTTCTCTCCGTTTCCTTCCCTTTACTATGGTATGATGGGTAAGTTTAAACTCCATAACAGGTAGTGTGGAGTTGTGACCCACGTATGAGAGACTCTCACTGGCCAGAATTATGATAGATGTGCACAAGAACCTCAAAGTACCATCGCTGAAATACAAAAAAAAGCACGGCCACATTTACCTGACGAGGGGGTTAAACTTTGGCCCGATACCATAGTAGTCCAACCCATATGTGCGTACACGTAGTGCCGTCTGGAGCCGCTCTACTAGGTACCGGTAGTTTAAGATGCAGTGCAGCTCGGCAGATGTAACCCCAATCTAACCGAGACCTCCCGGTGGAATGGGTCCCTTTCTTTTTACGCAAGCTAATGGAAGCTAGGGAGAGCCCACGACGCGCTTTCGACGGGCGGGTGCCATGGCGCCACCCTCGACCACGAGGCCCCAACTCTGGTCTTCGGATACTAGTAGGACGTTGCTAGTTCCTCTGTTTGGTATGATAATAATACTGAGTTTTCCTATAGGGTTTCCGTTGTCGCGTACCGGTACGACCCTTCGCCTTGGCTACAAATGTCGGCTAGTTCCTTCTCTGAGAATCCGGTCTCAGTCTAGTCTTTGGCGCAGAATGTGGCTTTCGACCAACGCCTCTGAACCGCCGAACCATTAGGTTTTCATGCTTCTGCGCCGAGAGGGATCAAGTCACGGCCTGCCTCTCCGTCGTTAGCCTAGCGTCCTCGCATCACTGCCTTCCAGAAAGAAAAAAAAAATTACCAACTACGTCTCCGCCAAAGTGGGGGGTGAAAAGCCGATCAGGGGTTAAACCATCACTGGAACGTGTAATATGCTACAGTTCACAATAGAGTAGTACTGCATATTTGTTTACAATAGTTAGCTTTGCGCGAACTCGGTCTGCCTGCCCTTCGCAGGCGGTTTGCTTATCAAGGTTCATTCCATCACTGCCAATGACCAGTATCATCAGCAGCGAAGCTAGCCTGGAGGCAAACACATTACAAAAGGCTTGGTCGCGACCGGCCCATGACGAACGCCACCGATGCAGCCATTGACGGTCCACTAGATGTCCGACGTTCACAGTTGCGGTTGCGTCTTCGGCACCTGGTGCTCTGTTTACTGACGACGACACGATGGCGACAGCAGAGCATGCTGCTGGGTCGGTCCCTCCCGCTCGCCCGGCTCATCTTTTCCTGTTGTCCTTCTTGACTTCACAGACTGGACTACCGTCCCGCACAGCCTCGTAGTCCGGGAATGCCGAAATACTCAACGGCGAATTATCATCGAAAGAGTATGGATAACACTGGCACAATGCCGTCCTTGACGTGGACCGAACGGCAACCAAATATCACGTAACTACTGACATGGTTGGCACAGGGTGTATTGCACCAGGTCATGATTGATTGCCAGTAGCGGAGAACCAAGGTCCTTGACAGTCAAAGTCCCTGACAGCCGAGACTAGTTTTCGTTGGCTAAAGGAGCCAGAAGCCCGCCGAATCCCCCCATCTCCCAGTCAGGAGGGCCTGCATGCTTGCGTCTTTCGGACGGGATTAACGCAGGGGCCGTGACGATCTGGGATCAACCAAACCAAGAAGGGTTTTTTGAATACATACGTAGTAGGTAGTAGACGGGTGCCTACTGTCCTACTCTATGCTGTACGCCTCCTGTGCTGCCCATCTACGAGACATTACTTGTGGTTCGTGCGTTTCAATACCCATGTCGTAGACATTCTGGAGTCTCGTCAGCGACCGACCGCGACAGACGTTGCGCCGAATGGTGGAGCAAAAGACATGGGCAGACGGAAGAAGATGCCGTTGCAATGCACCGCATTACATGCATAGTACTGCGACCGGTGGCCGAGACAACCTTTGATCTTTCACAGGCTGAGAGACATGAAAATATCGTTAGCATGGACTGATGCAGCACCAGGAGTCCATGACTCTCTGATTGGCGGCGTTGGCGTGGGTTCGCAAGGCAAAATGAAGATTCCAATGTCTCAGGGAATAACCCTTTCCATACGGCGGCCACTGACTTCAGTCAAACTCTATCCCGCGCAGGTGGATGTTGGTCGGACGAAACCTGGACAGCAGTTGATGTTGCTGGGAACACCAACCCGGAGGAACCGAGCTGCCAGAACAGCCGGCATCCCGGGCGCTGTCGCTGCGTCGAAACCATGTCTGTGTCAAAGATGGTGTGTGCAGATTGGGATCGGATCGCCCGAGGTTGGCGCTTGGGCGACGGCGAGAACGAGATAGAGATCAATTGGGATTGATTAGACAGAGTTAGGGCGACTGTAGGAAAGTTGGGGCGCCCTAGTACAGCATCGCCTGTTGTGCTTGGGAATGGCTGGTCAGTGTGATATGGACGATCAATGAGGCTGCATTCGTCAACGTTTGAAGCCTTTGACAACCCCACCATCATGTTATCCTCCTACGGGTAATGACAGCTGGGCAGATTCCCAACGCCGGGTTGCCGCACACGGGCTTGAAGGTTTGACGGCTTGGCAAAGTGGACCGCCATGCTTCCTAGGTACCTACTTAGGTAGGTACTAGGTAGGTACCTACCCGAGTATCGTGGGGGACGGAGAGAGGCTTATAGATCGCCGAGCTGGGGTCTGGTTGGATCTGGGATGGCGTAGGTATGATATTTAGCGACTTGGCAGATACCTACCCTCCTACCTACTTGTCTACAAAGCAGACGTGCGCCGTGGAAAAAATGGCTCAGGATCTCCGACCCTACCTTACCTGTTTAGTCGATCGAGCTTAGTTGACTTGGTCATTTATACCCACCTAGTTTAAATGCAGGAACACAGCGAAACTCTACTTGCTGTCCATCAACTCAGCCGGCTGGCCGGCCAAGCGATGGCTTAGAGGTACTGTCCGTCCTAGGAAAAGCACGGCGGGTAGGGCAGAGCCTGGTCCGAATCTAAACTCAGCTGCTTGTATCCGTACAAGCAGACGGGATGGCTCTTGCTATGGGGTTAGACCGGGTCGAATCGAATTGGATGCCTCGTCTCTCACTCCAACTAACCACTACTGGCTTAACGACTACCTCCCTACTTAGGTAGATGGGTTGGTAAGTAGAGAGAAAGCGAGCGTGCGATTCCCAAGTCCCTCAGTCACAAAGCATCAGACCCGCACATCCGCACATTCCTTAGGTACGTACGGCACCCCCTCCTTGCGTCTCCATCTCCCTCCCTCATTCCCATCCCTGGCCCCTGCGTGTTTTCAGCCCCCGTGGCTGTTGGTCACTGCCTAGTGTAATGCAACTAGCTGCGACAAGGGACAAGCTACCGAAACCTCGTACCTAACTTCGTGCTACGGCAGCCGACACTCGTCCTCCCCGGCCCAAACAGTCAAACTCGATGAAAGACACGCCGTCTCGCACCTTTTCACCCCGGACGTTCAATTATTGCATCTCTGCACCCTAAGCACTTCCCTCTCCCCTTGAATTCCGCTTTTTTGCCCACCGGAATCTGAAAAGACAAGGTGTCTCTCCCTCTGTCATTCCAAAGGACCCGAGACTCCCTTGGACGCCCAACTACCAATATTCCCATGGTTCTCTGAAATAGGACCTCAAGTCCTTCTAGTGGCCAGTTCATCGCTCTGCCCACGCTGCAGATCATCCATCGCTGCGCCAAGCCGCTCTCTTGTTCACAGTCGCTTTCTCTCGCGACCACCATAGACTTGCAACTTGTTCTGCGAGAGGTTTCCGACACTGCCGCATATCCTATACACACACGCAAGACGCCAAAGCCATGGCTGATTACCGACCTGAGCGGACGGGCTCCATCGCCTCGTCTTCTACAGACGCTGCTACCTTGCATGAGCTGACCAAGTTGGACCCAATGGAAGACAGTCTGCAAAACCTCAAGTCGAGAGCCGACGAAGAGGTGGCTGCCGAGGAAGACGAGAAGCTCCTACCTACTACCGACACGAGTGAGAAGGAAGAACCCCCGAAGGCTAGCCTCGCCTCGGCCGTTATCTGGATGACCGTCAACACCCTGGCCACAATTGGAATTGTGAGTTTTGCATTGCGCCCACGCGGCCCACGCGCTTGTTCTTTCTGTCGAATGCATAGGCTAATTAATGCTCCCATGCCGTAGGTCTTCACGAATAAGGCCATCTTCTCTGATCCCCAGTGGAAACTCTGCCAGCTTACGTTCGCGAGCTTCCACTTCTTGGTGACGTTCCTGACGCTGCACATCCTGTCGCGGCCAACCTTTGCCTACTTCACTCCGCGCCGTGCCACTATCACAGACCTGCTGCCCTTGTCCGTCGCAATGTGTCTCAACGTTATCCTGCCGAACCTGTCGCTGGCGTTTTCGTCGGTCACCTTCTATCAGATCGCGCGTATCCTTCTGACACCAACCGTTGCCCTAATGAACTTTGTTCTGTACAAGGCGACTCTGCCCCGGAACGCCGTCCTGGCTCTCATCCCGGCCTGTCTAGGTGTCGGAATGGTATCATATTACGACACTCTACCCGCCAAGGATGGGAATGTCAAGACTACTTCCACCCTGGGAGTCTTCTTCGCCTTCGCCGGCATTTTTGCGTCTTCTCTATACACTGTCTGGATTGCCAGCTATCACCGCAAGCTTCAGATGTCGAGCATGCAGCTTTTGTACAATCAGGCGCCCATTGCCTCATTCATGCTGCTCTACGTTATTCCTTTCGTCGATACTTTCCCTGACTGGGGTCATGTCCCTGTCAACCGTTGGCTTATGATTGGCATGGTTGGTGTTGCCAAGCCTACACTGCAGATTTCTTCCGCTAACATTGACTGTAGTCTGGCGTCTTCGCCTCGCTGATCAACATATCCCAATTCTTCATCATCGCCCAGACCGGACCCGTGTCCAGTACGGTGGTCGGCCACCTCAAGACATGCACCATTGTGGCCCTTGGCTGGATGGTTTCTGGGCGAGCCATTGGTGACAAGTCTATCCTCGGAGTCTTTATTGCCATTGGCGGTATTGTTGGGTAAGTTGAAGATCACTAGTCCGTGCGTCAACCCGCGACTGACCATTATCCAGTTACTCGGTCGTCATGCTCCAGCATCAAAAAGATCGTCGAAAATAAGCTGGAAGCATGGGTTCACGATCAGCGTTTATGACATTTAGGTGACGGTTCTTTTGGGAGTATAGAGAGATCATAATGCAGAGGAGTAGATCAAGCCTGTTTGGGACCAGAAAGAGACTAGTACATTGATACCTCATTTTATCACGGTTTGGCGTCTGGGGAGGGGAATAAGACAACTCGGATTTGGCAATAAAGCCAAAAGCATTTTATTGTTTTTCTTCATCCATGACTTTTTGCGTCTATCCTTGAACCTGATACGTGACTGGGCACACCTGGTCCAGCTAATGAAGCCACCAATAACAAGAAGTAAAAAAATACGCCCACGAGGTAGTCCCTGACCAACAACGCAATGCAGTCCGCAACCCAGCCCAGCACTCGAGCATTCCGAGGATGGAGCAGCCGACCACTGGTCTAATGTAGTCTCCTCTCTCTCTCTCTCTCTCTCTTCCTCTTCCTCTGTCTCCACAAGGGCAACCCCCTTACAAGTTGAACCGCTTCCTGTCCTTCTCCATTTTGGCTTTCCATTCCCAAGGCTGCGAGTCCTCGCCCTCGCTGCCGGCCCTGCCGATGCCCTTGTCGACCCTCCTCAGCTTGGCCGTGAAACGGGGGCCGACCTCCTGCAGGCCAACGCGGATGCCCTCGACGCCTTTCATCTCAGCGCCATCGGCTGTGGTGATGTTCTTCTCCGTCTCACGCTTCTCGCGGAAGACGTAGCGATGGCGCCGGAAGAAGAGGTAGTCGCGCTGGTTGTGCACCGTCAACACCTGGCGGCCCTCGAGCTCAGGCTGCGGCGGAAACAGGCGCTGGAAGAGGGCTGCGGTGAGGAGGCCCAGGGGCGTCTTGAAGTTGTTCAGGAGGAGTTCCGGGTAGTGGTTCGTCGGGTTGCCGTGGCCAGGGAGCTTCTTGCCTTCCATGAAGTTTGTGATGGAGAAGGTGAAGGTCGGACCGGCGGGGAGGTGCACGATGGACATGCCCGTCAGCTTCTTCTGGTCCTCCTTCAGGAGGACGACGGCGGTGTAGTCGCGGTTCGAGGCGAACTTTGAGATCTCGCGGAGCGAGTACTTGTGCCCGTAGCGGTGGGCGGAGCGCGGTACGTAGGTGGAGTTGGGGAAGATGGTGCGGAAGACGTTGGCCTCGTAGTGCAGCGTCGAGTTGAGCGAGGTAGTGATGAGGATCTTGGGCGGCGGGGGCGCGTCCTCAGTGAAGAGGGAGGGGAACTTGAGGGCGAGCGAGGAGGGCGTCAGGTCGAGGTTGGTGCTCGTGGTCGACGGCGCCGCCGAGCTATCCCTCCGGGCGCGGCGCTTCTCCTCGCGGCGCTTCTCCCTCTCGGCCTTCTTCGCTTCGGCGGCCTCTTCGTCATCGTCGGAGGCGAGCATGCTGTCGTTGTCCGACTCATCCCCGTCCTCCGAGTTGTCCTCGTCGTCGAGCTCCTTCTCCAGCGCCGCGTTCTCCTCCTCCTCTATCCTCCTTCTCTTGAGCTTCTCGACGTCCACCACGTTCCCCAGGGAGTCGTCGTCGACGTCGTCCCACACGCGCTTGCTATCGAGCGTCTTGGGCTTGTTCTTGGTAATGCGGGCGGCGCGCAGCTCAGGGTCCTTGTCCTCCTCCTTTTTCCGACGGAAGCGCATCTCGCGCTGCGTCTTGTCCTTCTCCTTCTTCTGCAACACATATAGCTCCTTGCGTTTAAGCTTGTTGGACGTCTTGTTGGTGAGCGAAGCCCCCATGGACTTGCCCGGCTTGGAAAAGCCCATGTTGAAAAACTCGCTTTCTCGACTCGATTGACCTTTGGGGATTTTGCTGCAGATTCGACGCTCGTCCTATTTGGGGTAAAGTGCCAATACCTAGCCGTCAAGTTTTTTTTTTCTTTTTTCTTTTTACCCCCAGGAGGCCCGTTGTAGTCGGGCAGTTGTCGCAATTCAATGCTTGCAATACGGGTTCTCAGTATCGTCCTCTAAAATATCATAAAAAAAGTTCCGTCGTCGAAGAGGCTCAATGAAAATCAGCTTTGGAGAAATTTTGGCGGGGCACCAACCAATCCCTGCAGCAGATGCATTTGAGATGGCTCCTGACCCTCAATGTTGCGGGGGTCAGGGATCTTTAGCATCTGATGCTGACCCGTCGGCGGATTGAATTTCCGTCGTCCATGGACGATGGCGGGCTGCGGGAGGGGCTCGGTCTAGTACCTGAGCAGCCTGGGCCGACGCTGATCGCACGAGCGACAGGCGACCGCACACCAAGGAGGGGTGGGTTTGCACTGGAGCAAAAAAGTGAGAAAGGGCAGCACGACACTTTTTTGTAGGAGAACGACTTGACCACCACACAAACCACACCCCTCGACGCCTACCTACCTAGGTATCGCATGCACACTCTGCACCACACCCAGCTCTCTCTGTCTCTACCTGGCATTTCCCAATTGAACCTATAAGCCAGGTAGCTAACCAGTGCCCCTCCCTTACTACCCAGGGAACTGCAGCTGTTGCCAGAGCCAAGGCCCCCTCTAGATGACTCACGCTCTCTAAAAAGAACCCCACCAGACGACCAAATAGATGAAGCCTTTTCGCTCTTTCGTACACCAATCACCTCCAATTCGTTCCGCAGCTAGCTTCTGTGCAGTTCGGCCGGCCGCTTTTTTCCACTGCCGCCATCGTTACCCCTCCCCCTCCTTGCCCTTCCGCTCCCACTCCCACCACCACCACTTCCAACACCGCACCCTCGCCACCACTCGTCACCTCTCCCGGGCCCAAGTCCTTACCCCCTCGAAAAAGAACAAGCCCAACGACGCCATCCCCAAGATGACGACCACTGCGACGACCCTAAAGGGTCAGCCCCTCGACCGGCAGGTCCTCGATGCCATGCTGCGCCGGCGTCTCTTCTTCACCCCAGCCTTCGAGATTTACGGTGGCGTCGCTGGCCTCTTCGACTATGGCCCCCCCGGCTGCTCCCTGCAAGCCAACATTGTCGACATCTGGCGCAAGCACTTCATCCTCGAGGAGGACATGCTCGAGATCGACACCACCGTCCTGACCCCGCACGAGGTTCTCAAGACGTCGGGCCACGTCGACAAGTTCGCCGACTGGATGTGCAAGGACCCCAAGAACGGCGACATCCTACGTGCCGACCACTTCGTTGAGGACGTGCTCGAGTCCCGCCTCAAGGGTGACAAGGAGGCTCGCGGCGAAAAGGTCGAGGAGGAGGACGACCCCAAGAAGAAGAAGAAGAGAAAGACAAAGACCGAGGCCGTCAAGCTCGACGACAACGTCGTCCAGGAGTACGAGGAGGTCCTGGCCAAGATCGACAACTACAATGGCACGGAGCTCGGCGAGCTCATCAAGAAATACGACCTCAAGAACCCGGCCACCGGCCTTCAACCCTCGCCTCCTGTCGCCTTCAACCTTATGTTCCAGACCTCCATCGGTCCCAGCAGCAACCTGGCTGGCTACTTGCGTCCCGAGACCGCTCAGGGCCAGTTCCTCAACTTCGCCAAGCTTCTCGACTTCAACATGCAGCAGATGCCCTTCGCCTCCGCCTCCATTGGTCGCTCCTACCGTAACGAGATCTCCCCGCGCGCCGGCCTCCTGAGAGTTCGCGAGTTCCTTATGGCCGAGATCGAGCACTTTGTCGACCCCGAGGGCGGCAAGAAGCACCACCGCTTCCCTGAGGTCGATGCCATCGAGCTCACCCTGCTGGACCGCCACACCCAGCTTGCCGGCAAGACGGACGTCAAGAAGATGACGATTGGCGACGCCGTGCGCAATAAGGTCGTCGACAACGAGACTCTCGGTTACTTCCTCGCTCGCATCCACCTCTTCCTACAGAAGATTGGTGTCGATATGTCCAAGGTCCGCTTCCGTCAGCACATGGAGAACGAGATGGCCCACTACGCTGCCGACTGCTGGGACGCTGAGCTCCTCACCTCCTCCGGCTGGATCGAGTGTGTCGGCTGCGCTGACCGCAGCGCCTACGATCTGTCTGTCCACGCCAAGAAGACGGGCGCCCCCCTCGTCGTACGCGAGCGCCTCGACGAGCCACTCATCTTCGAGGAGTGGCAGGTCGAGATTGACAAAAAGAAATTCGGTCCCCAGTTCAAGAAGGACGGCAAGACGGTCGAGGCGGCCCTCGAGGCCACCACCCAGGAGCAACGCGAGAAGCTCGCCAAGCAGCTCACCGATAATGGCGAGCTCGAGCTCGAGGTTGCCGGCGTCGGCAGCGGCACGGTCAAGGTCAGCAAGGACCTTGTCAAGATCGAGTTCAGGAAGCGTATCGAGAACACCAGGGAGTACACCCCCAACGTCATTGAGCCGTCATTTGGTATCGGTCGAATCCTGTACTCGTTGATCGAGCACGTCTACTGGAATCGCGCCACCGAAGATGGCGGCGACGAGGCCCGCGGAGTGAGCCACCCCTTCCCAAGATAGGCAGGCTAAGAAGACACAGAACACATAGCTGACTGAACTGAATGACTAGGTCCTCTCCTTCCCACCGACGGTCGCCCCGACCAAGGTTCTCATTGTGCCCCTGTCGGCCAACAAGCAGTTCCAGCCCTTCATCAACAAGATCTCGCAGAAGCTGCGCAAGATCGGCATCTCGGCCCGCGTAGACTCGTCCTCGGCCACGATCGGCAAGCGTTACAGCCGTAACGACGAGCTCGGCACGCCCCTGGGCATCACCATTGACTTCCAGACCGTTCAAGACAGCACCATCACCCTTAGAGATCGCGACTCGACGAAGCAGGTCCGCGCGGACGAGGAAACCATCGTCGCGGCCATCCAGAGCCTCGTCACTGGCGCCAAGGAGTGGAAGGATGTTGCGGCCGAGCTCCCAGCATTCGAGGGCCAGGAGGTCGATGTCACCGTTCGGTAAAAGCATTTATTCTAATACGGATACGTTCTTCTTTCACTGTAATGGGTTTCAGGGAGACTGGGAGTGAGAAGAAGAGCAAAAGGGAGGAGGGGGATAGGGAGGGAAAAGCCGCCTGCATGTGGTATCTGTAGACATCTCAACTGAGCCTTGTGGAATTGAACATTATCACGCGTCGCCAAGGCGCATGTACGTACTTCTGTGCATTGCAAGCTTCAAAATTATTCAGCCAAAGTCAGAGTGATGAGCGGCGACGGGACGAACAAGATGCTGCACAGCGCGAAGTGAATCTCACCCATTGGAGGAAGTTGTTCGACAACGCCATGCGTCGCACCCGTTTGTCGGGTACGTTGAAAGTAGAGACGAGGCAGGTTCGGACCGTCCATTGAGTGGACGGACGGGTTCAGCTGGCGACGGTCCGTGGAAATGTATACCGGCGCGCGGGAATCCGACCTGGTGCCGCATACCGCGGGGTAGTACGATGACCAGGCGTAGGACGAGAGTATGCGTTAGGCTCGCAATTCAGCTCTGGAACAGGGGAGGGTTGTTGGGCTGTAGCAACGGCTTGTGCCCAATTGTTGGAGATCGGACGTCAGGCACAGAGGACATCAAGCACGGAGAACGTCAGACCCATTGCCATGGCGATGCGGCTACGGCCGGTGGTAGTGAGGTCGACTATCACTCTCTTATGTCGTGGGACCGACGGTTCACAATTTTTATTTATTTATTTAGATAAAAAAGACACGAATAAATGCTACCAAGTCCAAGGCTCGAATGGCACGCTTCAATGCCACATCCCCCCCCCTTTGCAATGTCTTGGCAAAGATGGATGGGATCGAAGGACGCTGCTATCCCGACTAAGAGACAAGAGACTCGGTCCCCAGGGGGCGGTAGTTGGCTGGTGGCATGAGCCTGCAACAGATCCGCGGATCGGAAACACAAAACTGCTCAGTCAGCCCTGCCCACGCCGCGTTTCGCCTACACTTTTTCCCCCCCGGAGACTGAGAGGTGAGGGTACGTGTAGGTCGCGTGCTGGGCTTACCTAGTGGCCCTATCTGCTGTTGTCGAAAGACGTCAGTGGTGGTCGGTCGCCGGATGGAGTAGCATTCCCATCTTATTAGGGTGGATCGGATGCCCATCCACCTTTCCTCGAATAGGAAGTGAGTATCTTGACAATGGTGAGTATCTTGACAATGGTGAGTAGCATTTCTGGCCAACACGACTCAGTGAACGGCCCATCTGGTTGCGGGCGGAATAGCCAAGTAGTCGATCTAGAAACGCCAATGCTAGTAATGTACGGATAAATCACCCCATGATTGTAACCACTGGGTATTGAACGGGTATGATTCGCATGCCTGTGTCGTATGCAGGACATTGTACACACTGGATGGCGGGCGCCCTCCCGTGCTCTGCTCAGCTCCTCGCCTGTTGTGCAATGCTAGGACGGAAAGCGGAGGAGGTGATGTGAAACACGGCGGTCCAAGGGTGAGACGGACGAGTTGTTGACAGGAGACTCCTGTGCAGACCCACACATGCCCCTCCAGTAGCAACCGCTCTGTGGCATGCTTAAGTCAGTGTGGTTCGCCGGAGCTTGACTTTAGGTGGGGTTTTGGTTGACCCCGAATCGCGGCACTTTGGAACAGGGTCCATGACTGCTCCAACTCGGGCGATGCCGATATGAGGAGGACGAATAGACACATGGCGAGGTCAGAGATCCCACACTGTGGTTAGAGAGCTTCCCGAGTGCTAGAACTGTTCTGGAGGGGTGTCTCCGCGGGCTGAGCGTGGCCATGGTTTTGATCAAAGACCGAGTGGTAGGCGAATCGAGCTCGGATTGCAGATGTAGAATTTCCAGGCGGTGCCTTACGTAGCGGACGTCTTCGGCCGGGTCCTTCTTTTCGTCCTCATATCTGCTGAGCCGTGTTTGCAAACAGTACGTCGGAAGTCGAACCACAGGAGTGGAAAGAGGGATTTACACGGTATTCGTTGAAGACTTTTTGGGAGAAGTGGTGTGTCGAGTGTAGATTAAGCATGGGTGTTAAGTTTGCGGCTAGGCTCAGGTTGTCATGTTTCGAGATTAGGTTGCAACCTCACGGCCGAATGTTGTTGGCACCTTCCTTTTTGCGCGTCCCAGTCGAACTATTGTTCTATTTCGCACTCTTGCCGAGCGTATCGCATCGCCTCCTGCAGCAAACAGGAGGGGGGTGGGGGATTGCAGGTGACAGGAGGTGGTCTCAAGAGTTAAGGGCCCAGGGCAGTCTTGCCGTTAACCGTAGTGGGTGCGGGGAGGACATCCTTATGGCTGTCCCTTGTTTCCCCAAGTGAAGATTGAAGCCTTCAATCCATCGACGGCTTAACCAGGTCTTGACGTGGCGCCGGGCTTGATGAGCCGACGAAGTGCTACTGATGTGCAATGCGAGTCACCAAGGCCCGAGACCAGGCATGATACCGAGTTCTGATATCGGCCGAGATCAGACGGGATGAGGATACGTCGTTGGGCAGTTTATGGAGAGTCAAACGGGTATCGTCCTTCGAAGGGTGGATCGCGCTCGTTGTGAATCATGGAAATGATGACGTGTATTGTAGGTTACGCGATTGTCTGCATCTGAGAGAGACAGTAGAGTGTTAATTTTGAAGCAAGTCCCATCATCTTCATCTTCACAGTCCTCCTTCTCGATCTTGTTCCGTTCGTCGCAGCATACACGTGGTGTAGGGGGAGTGGGCTGGGCTGGATATGTTCCCTCCATAATGTCTCTGCATAGGAGCACTTTGGGGGGCACTTTCTCCACTATGACGTCTCGCCCGACCGTCGACAGGAGTCAGCCGTGTTGGACATGAATCACACTGTGCCTGAAACATGTATGTCTAAAGGGTAGAGCTGCCGTTTTATTCCACATAAATCGAGCCATTGTATATTTATTGCGCTGTTCCGTGTCGTGCCGGAGATAACTGTTGCTGCTACTGCCCCCGAAAACCATGACGGTCACGTGCTGCGATGGAAATTCCTCGTCGCTGACGGTGCAAATCTGTGACATGATTTCGGAGAGGGGCCACGGTCGTCCCCTTCCCCACCAGTGCGCGACCCGACATACTGCATCGGTACCTGATTCGCTGGCAGGAACGGGAGGCTGTCGGGGGCTGGTCAAGTTGGTGCGTTTTTGGGGTGGTCCTTCCTTACTCTCGTGCTTTGCATCGCCTCCACTTTCTCTCCAGGTCAGGGTCATGTCCCTTTCTGTCTTCACCTCATCCTTGCCTTTCTACTTCCCCTTTGTTTAGTATACCTACCTGTGCATGTTTACCTAGTACGATGTATGTAGGCCGATTGTTCCCCTGCACCTGCCCCCTCCCTCGTCAGTGGGCAGAGGCATGGTTTGAGGAGGGATGCAGATACCCTGAATCCTGAAAATCCTGGCCAGTTACTAGGTAGTTTAGGTAGCTACCTATCTCTGTAGGTAGTTTATCCTGTACTCCGTACGGAGTACTGGCAAACCATCACTCATGGCGTTTCCGTATCTGCCCCTTGCAACAGGACCAGACTGGGGAATCGCGCGCCTAGTGAGAATAATTAGATCGAAACGAAGGGAACCAGAAACGACCCCTGGGTGCCCTCTGGCTTTTTCTCCGAATAGCGTCGACGCATCAAGTCTTGGCTTCCAAACTCAAGGCACGGCCTCATACGGTGCTTGAACACACACATACAAACAGAGAAAGAGAGAGATCAGCCTCATCCAGGCAGTCCCTGATTCACATACCTAGCCGTCCATCCATCCATCCTAGTTCGTTCTCTCCTCTTCGCAGTCGACAATCCCTTTCCCAACCGTCGGCGACATGTGTGTCATGTTCAACCCCATCAGGCTTGTGTCAATTCCGAAATAGCAAATACACCTCCATCACTGCTTATTGGGCTGCACCGTAACAGCGCATGCTGCTCCCCTTCTGGCTGATCGCCCACAACCAAGAGCGTCCAGGGCGTGTCGCCGCCCAGTCACAGTCCTAGTCCCCCGTCTCCTGGCCTCGACCAGCAACAGAAATCCGCCTACCCCAACGACGGTGTACGCTGATCGACTTTCGTCCTCGAAACCCCCCCTCTCTCTCTCTTTTCCCCTCTTTCGAGCTCTCTCCCACCCCCTCCTCCTCTTCCTTCTCTTCCTTTCTCCTATACCCTTCGCAAACCACCATCGGCAGCGTTCACGACGAGCAGCATATCTCCATCTTTGTTGTTTCGGGCCACGGCAGTCGACAACCCTTCTGGAAGCTTGCCCGGGGCCCTTCTGCACCTACCTCCTTGACCACTGGCATGCCCCCCTTGTTCATCCCCGACTCATAAAGATACCACGACCCAAGCAACCCAAGCAACCCAAACCTGCAAGCAGCCCACTCGGTACTTAGCGTTAGCGGCCAGCAGCAGCGACTGCAGCAACACTCCACGTCCTTAGGTGGCGGATCCCCAGGAGGCACGAGTATAGTGTGCCGCCCAAAAGCTACGAAACATCGCGTGTTCCATACATTAAGCCATTGCCCCGGGGCTTCACATCCGAGGACAGCCACAGAAAACACACGCCTCTCTTATTAAAACTGTACCCCCCTCTTGTCTCCTCCTGTGTCTGACCCTGGGCGAGAGACTGAGTGAGGGAAATGGCGACGCAGAATTGGTAGGCATCTTCACCTCACTCTTCTCCCATTGAATCTCTTTTTCCTTCCTCCATTATCAATATTCGCGACTCTTGCCTCGTATCGAATGTAATCATGTACGTGTGTTCTTATAACCCCTCCCGCTCAGTACCCTCATACCCATCTGCCCGTCCCATCTCTTCCCTTCCCTTCCCTTTCCCCTCCCCTCCTCCACTTTCCCGCCCGCAATCAGCTTCGTTGCAGGCAACTTGGGGTACGCAAACGCAAACGTAGACGCGGCAACGGCAGCGGCAGCGGCAGTAGCGATAGCAACTGCGGCGGCGGGACGGCAACTGTCAGCATCAGCGCCCAACAGCCCCCCTCCCCAAGTGAACAGGAGTGTCAAGTTCCTTCAGTGAGGCTAAAAGTGGGGTTAATTTCGTCTCGATCTGCCGTGGCGCGCGCACTTCACAGGCTGTCAACCACCAACAGTCTCCTAGTTGCGCTGTCCTCTCCATTCCACATACCTAATTCATTCACCTCCATCCCGCGGCTCGTTTCCTGAAAGGTCCCCCCCCCCCCCCCTTTTCCCCCGTAACCACCATCATTCGGCCGGCGTCGCCCATCTCGCTTCCACACCGTCCTTCTTTTGACTGCCACCCCCGATCCCGTTCATTTCTTCGTCGCATGCAGATCTCGTCTGCCGTTGCCGCCCACGCTGCGCAGCAATCATGGCTAACGAACGCAGTGTGTATTCGTCTGGCCAGTTCATGAACCCAGGCCCGGCGCCACGACCCCCAGCCGATCGACCTCGTCTCGCCCTTACGCCAAATAACAGTCTTCCTGGCAACATGGCCAACATGGCCATTTCCCCCATCAGGAGCACGGCGACCTCGACCTACACCGGTTCCACAATCTCGCTCCCTATCGCCCGCCAGCAATCCGGCCAGAACGATGGCATGGGAGGTGTCGCCGTCAAGAAGGAAGGGTGGGCCTCTGTGAAGGAGTCCAAGAACTTCATCAATCCGTGGAAGCAGAAATACCTTATCCTGCGAAAAGAATCGCTTGATTTCCACAAGACCGAGGGCGGCAAAGTCACGTACACCCTCTACCTGAAGGATGTCGTTAACGTTGGCCGAGTCGAGGCCGCCGGCACCATCTTCGAGATTAAGAGAAACCCTAACGGATCATCCAACAGTCCGGGCGAAGACGACGGCCAAACCAAAACGCTACAAATTCGCGTCAAGAGCGATGACGACTTGTACGAATGGATCGATCTCATCTACGGCGCCTGTCCTGGAATGGGCGGTGTCAGCAACCCCACAAACTTCTCCCACGCCGTCCACGTCGGTTTCGACCCCCAGACTGGCGAGTTTGTCGGGCTGCCGCCCGAATGGTCGAAGCTCCTCAACTCATCCGCCATCACAAAGGAGGACTACGAGCGCAACCCTCAGGCCGTCTTCGAGGTCCTTGACTTCTACTCCGATCTGACCAAGCGGGCGGAGAACCCCCAACAATACTCCAGCCTTACGCCTACACCTCCTGCCAGTAGCCAGCAGAACAAGCAGCTCGGCTATGGCGGTGGCGGCTCCTCAGTCGCGCCTCCAAGGCCCATGCCGCCGTCGCAGGCTCAGCGTCAACCCAGCTACAACACGCAGCCCTCGTCGCAGGGGCAGCAACGGCGGCCATCGCCCACGGAGCAGCAGCAGCAGCAACGTCTCCAGATGCAGGGCATGGCCAGCAACTACCAGGCGGATCCTCGCGAAGAGCAGCGCTTGAAGCAGCTGGAGGCACAGCGCATCCGCGAGAGGGAGATTGAGGAACAGAACCGTCGGGATTTGGAAGCCTTCAACGCGTCCATCCCCAAGACAAAGACGCCCATGGCTCAACAAGAGATCGGCGGCTTCGGCGGCGGCTCGTCCATCCCCCCGACAGACAGATACAATCCCTCAAGAGCAGCCCCCCCGGCGCCCAAGCCGTCACAACAGCAACAGGCCAACGGACTCCGGGCGCAGCGCCCCGCACCCTCACCGCCGACCGCCGGTACTTCCAATCGCCCCCCCATGGCCTCACAGCAGAGCTCCAGCTCTATGCGGGACCCTAACCAAGCTCAGCGGGCGCCTCGTCCGGACCAATCGTCCAGCCAGCAGCAGCGCTACCCCAACGGCAGCCCCCAGCAGCCCAGACAGCCTCAAGCGCAGGCCGCGCCGCCATCTCGCTTACCCGCTCCTGTAAAGCCCTTGAATGTGTCAAAGGCCCAGCCCGTGCCGCAAACCGATGCCGTCAAGGCTGCGGAAGCAGCACTTACTGCCAAGCCGCCTGCCCAAGACCGCAAGCAGGATGTGCGCATGTCTACCATGTCCGAGAGCGAAGTCATGGCCAAGCTCAAGGAAGCCGTTTCCAAGGACGACCCGAATCTTTCTTACTCCAAGCAAAAGAAGATTGGACAAGGTGCTTCGGGTTCCGTTTACGTTGCCAAGGTCAAAGAGGGCGCTGTCTCGCCCATTGCCCGTGACGTTTTGCGTGCCCAGGGCATCAAGGCCCAGGTTGCTATCAAGCAGATGGATCTTGCACACCAGCCCAGAAAGGAGTTGATTGTGAACGAGATCATGGTCATGAAGGACAGCAGGCATCGCAACATTGTCAACTTCCTGGATGCATTTTTGCGCAACAACAATGCCGAACTATGGGTTGTCATGGAGTACATGGAGGGCGGTGCCCTGACGGACGTTATCGACAACAACCCTAGCATCACCGAGGAGCAGATCTCCACAATCTGCTTGGAGGTAAGAGGCTTGTCCCGCCGTAACACCGCGATGATACTGACCTCATACAGACCTGCAGTGGTCTGCAACATCTCCACTCCCAGAACATCATTCACCGTGACATCAAGAGTGACAACGTGCTGCTGGACGCCCGAGGAAACGTCAAGATTAGTGAGTGCATCGTGAGACAGATTTGATATGCAGCTACTGACCTTGCTCAGCCGATTTCGGTTTCTGCGCCAAGCTCACCGAGTCCAAGTCGAAGCGCGCGACGATGGTCGGAACTCCCTACTGGATGGCGCCCGAGGTTGTCAAGCAGAAGGAGTATGGCCCCAAGGTCGATATCTGGTCATTGGGTATCATGGCTATTGAGATGATCGAGTCCGAGCCGCCCTACCTGAACGAGGAGCCTCTCAAGGCTCTGTACCTGATCGCCACCAACGGTACACCACGCCTCAAGAAGCCCGAAAAGCTGAGCAAGGAGCTCAAGGCCTTCCTGTCGGTTTGCTTGTGCGTTGATGTCAAGAGCAGAGCATCCGCCGATGAACTTCTTCAGCACGACTTCCTGAAGCACGGATGCCCGCTGGGTAGTCTGGCGGAGCTACTTGCCTTCAAGAAGCATGCCAAATAGATTGGCGAGCGCAGAAGCATTGTAGCGCAGCGATCAGCGTAGGGGTAGCAGCTGCCTCTGACGGCCTGTGACTTTCTGTACCAAGGCGGTGGCGCCGCGTTCCACTTCCCGACCGACGCAAAAGTGGAAGAACTGTCCCATTCGACCTCGCACGAACCTTCGACACATCACCACCGACTCACACACGACGTACTCATGAAAGGGGGGAAAACTTTTCATTTTGATCAATGCGGATATTCTTGACACACCCTTCTGACTCATGCGGAACGAGAAATGCTGCCTTCATTCCATCACCACGGCGGCATGGGTATTCTGTTGTTGTTTTCTCTCTCTTGGTTTTTGCAAATCGTCTCAGTCACATTGCATACTTGTTTAGTCACTGAAAGGAGAGACTGGTAATATAGAGGGAATGAATCGCCTGTGACATGTCCATGGTTCACATGGAGCAGATGGAAAAGGCAGGGATGGGTGTTGTTTTCTCATGGGGACAGGGAGACGAGGGTGCTGGCCTAAGTCTCACCAGAAGCATAAGTTGGAGGAGAGCCAGACAGCGCTGATAGACGAGTATCAATGAAAAGGATTCACGAGGATAAGGACCTTATAAGATGAAGTCGGACGAACTCAGATGAACTTCCATCGAAGCCTTGAAGGTTATCGCTCGTCTTGCGAGTGTGGGGGTGAGCTCATACATATATACTTCGTTTCTCTATGTATATCTTCCCGGGTCCTGGTCGCACTATAACCAACTAGGTGGCGGGTGTTGGCTTGTCGCACCTTGTGCATTTAAGCTACCTTGACGAGAGTGGATACCGCCACCTTCTGCGTTGCGGCAGAGACTCGGCCCGCACGGCCGTCAGCAACACAAGTGGTTTTCCCCTCGATTTCAGTATCCGAACCCGTCGTTCTCGTATTCGGGTCTCCGTCGCGCTTTGCATCCGAGAAAAACGAGGACGCCGCCAACCACATCCCTCGTATCATTTCCTTCCTGCACAACCCCCCGCGGGTCCCGATTACTGTGTGCCCTTACGCCCTCCAAGTGCGCTCAATTACATTCAACCGAACGTACAAGGCTCTTAGTTTACCAAGGTTATTTTGCAGGGCCGTTCCTCTAGGCTCGGGATTTACGTCAATTTACGGCGCCCTTGCGTCGGGGGACCCTCTGATGAGCCCACCCGGTATGGACAGCCCAATGGATGGGTCCGGCGGCTCGTCCTCCGCACCGGGGTCGACTCCAACGGCTACGGCGACGACGCCCAGCGCCGGTGCGACCCTCAGTGTCGCAGTGCCTCAAGGGTCGATCTCGGCCTCTTCGGCGGCTTCCCCGTCGACGATCACGCCCGCCGCGGCGACGGCGGGCCGGGGTGTGGGCACACCGGGCGCTGCGATTGCCGCCGCCGGGGCGGCTGTTGTCTCACGACGGTCTCACCCTAAATCAAGGACAGGCTGCAGGACGTGTAAAAACCGGAAGATCAAGGTAAGACAAGTCTTTTTGTTTCCTTTTCTGTTATTGTGTTTTTTCTTTTTCTTTTTCTATTTTCTATTTTCTGTTTGCTGTTTGCTGTTTGCTGTTTGCTGTTCCTGGGCGCGGTTTTGTCTTTTGCGATGAGTTCGCGGGTGGTTGGTTTGATATGGGCTTGTATAAGACCTGCCAGTGAGTGTCGAGTGAACGTAGCGCTCCTTTCCCTCTACTCGTGTCACCTGACATCTGAATACCAATCTTGTTACCGCATTGGACCACGCACACACACACACAGTGCCCATCCACGCCCAGCCCCTCCTTATACGTGTTGCCCCCATAATAGCTACTATACTATACACCGCCCAAACTAAGACGACTGCCAGTGCGACGAACATAAGCCCTCCTGTCGGAATTGCATCAAGCACGCAGTTCCCTGCGACTTTCTCCAGTCGCAACGCCACTCGTCGTCGTCGTCGATCCCGCGATCGCCGGACAGCATCATCTCCTCCGGAGGCGCCGACAACGGCCACGGCTTCGGCGATGGCCTCGGCGGGGGCGGCGCCGGCGCCGGCGGGGGCATGAGCGACCTCTCGCTGAACTTGATCGACCTAGAGCTCATGCACAACTTCACGACGTTCGCCTTTAACACGCTCTCGACGGACCCTGTGGTGCGGCAGATGTGGAAGGTGCCCGTCGTGAAGCTGGCGCTCGAGTGCGACTACGTGATGCGCGCGCTGCTGAGCGTGTCGGCGCTGCACCTGGCGCACAACCGGCCAGAGAAGAGGGATTTCTTCATCAGCCGCGCGTTGACGTACCATCAGATGGCGAGCCGGACGGCCATGGGGCTGATGGGGGCGTTGGATGGGGAGAATTGCGAAAAGCTGTACTTGTTTTCCGTCTTGACCATCTTTTTTGGTAAGTTGCCCTTTAGCCCTGCCCCCATGTTCTTCTCGTCGTCATCCTCTTCTCTATACTTCTCCTCCCCTCTCATCCATCCATCTGTACACGCTCCTCGAGATCGAGGGGTGAAGCCACGGCGGTGGAGGATGATGGTGACTTCATGAGACTAACCCACCAGGGCAGCCCTCGCATGTCCGCGCAAATCATCCGACTCCCTCATCATGGGCGAGTCTTCCTTCCCAGACTGGATTTTCCTGCTCCGGGGCACGCAGTCCCTTCTCAAGCTGCTCCAACCGCAAGCCTACACCGGCGCCCTGTTGCCCATGTTCAACCACGGTCACGAGCGCTTCCTCCACTCGCGCGAAGAGTCTAGGGCCGAGTCGGAACTGCTGGTAGACCTGCAGCGGCTCGTGAACAAGACGTGTGCCGACCCGGTCCTGCTGCCGATCTACAACCGTGCCATCGACGAGCTGCGGCGGACACTGTCCGTGTTCCTGTGGGACGGCGGGCGGGGGATGGACATCACGGACGCTTTCCTGTGGAAGTACCACATGGCGGAGGACTTCTTGCCGCTGCTCAAAGTGCCGGGGGCGACACAGGAGGCCGTCGCCATCTTTTCGCACTTTTGTATACTGCTCAAGAGGCTGGAGAACGAGTGGTGGTTGCAGGGGTGGGCGACGCACCTGATCAGCCGGGCATGGTCGCTACTGGACCAGGATCACCGGCTTTGGATACAATGGCCGATTGAAGAGTTGGGGTGGGTGCCTCCCTGAAGTGGTGTTGGGCATCTGGGTATTCAAGTGCGGACGTGCGCGCGGCTGTGTGTGTGTGCGTATGTGTATGATGGAAAGGATTGGAGGGGGAGGGGGGGTGTACGATATTTTTCATGTCTATATGATTTACAATGTGTATATGAAAAAAGACCCTCTTGCATATGAAGGGTGTATCTTTGCGGGAAGCTTATCATGACGCGTAGTCGAGCCTGTTTGTGATGCTGTCCGTTTTGGCTTGGGCGATGTGACGGTGGCAGTTGTCTGCGGGATTGTGCCCCTCCCACTCGGGGCATCAAGGTGGAACTATATCGACATGGTCTTTGGTGGATCGCGGCCCCCCGATGGTCTTGGTAGCTTGGCTTGTTACACGGCGGACTGCTTGCCGAGGCATGGATGAATGAGGGCCGCCGGATCATGACACACGCCCGCCAGATCCCAAAAGTATGTGAGAGTGCTACTGCCCAGGGTGTAGGAAACCTCGGGTCTCCCACCGCCCCAAGCTCCTACAAGACCTCGCTTCCCCGCCTCCCTTTGTTCTTTTTTTATCTTGCGCTGTCTTTCCGCAGGCAGAGATGTAAACAAAAAGAAGAGTGAGGGGAAGAAGAGGGGAAAAGAGTTCAAGGGCTCATAAGCACATGTTCTTCTATTATCGGGTATTGTTGGCCTGGTGATCTAGCGAGGAGGCTCATCCAGCCGGTGTAAAAGTATAATTAATGGACAGATCACAAAGCAAAGTGCTTTGCGATACGCGAGACCGGATGTGTCGCATGAAGAACCAACGAAGCAAAGGACCCGTCGTATACATTTTGCAACCCACTCGATCAGTATTCGGACAACATTTGGCGGCAGCACAGAGTCTGTTTCTGGCCACGGAACTGCGTCCTGCATATGGTATCGTATCCCTCAAAACTTACATTCGGTAACGCTGTCCGTGGACTTTGATTGCAAGAGTACGGCGACGACAAGTCCGTAGAGGCCCAGAACCTCGGCGAAGATGAGGATCAGGACCATGCCGACGTACAAGCGGGGCTGCTGGTTGGTGGCTCTCACTATTGCCGCACAAGAACAAAAACAGAAGCGTTAGCAAATCACGATACGAAGTCAGACTGCCACCGCGCTCACCTCCCGCATCGCCGACAATGCCGATGGCGAACCCGGCCGCGAGCCCGCACAGACCGACGCTGATGCCGGCGCCGAGCTGGAGGAAGCTCGTGTGCAGGGCCTGCTTCTCGTCGAGGTCATTGGCAATGATGACGGCGGCGACGAGGCCGTAAATGGAGAGGATCTGAGCCATGATCGGGCAGAGCGTGTTCTGCATCAGGCGCTCCGGGCGGAGTACGCCGGCGGCGAAGATGGCGGCCGAGGATTTTGCGGTGCCGTAGGAGGCGCCAAAGACGGTGAAGACGATGGCGGCCGCACAGCCCAGCGCCCCGAAGAAAGACTTTGCGTTAAGCGGATGGGTCAGTTTTGCTCGTCGTTCCGAGCCTGGGACGGCCATCCATCCATCCATCCATCCAAACAAGGACCCTCCCCTCCCTCTCGCGAACGGGGTGGTTGTCTTACAGAATAGCTTGGGCTGGAAGGGACAAGGAAGTCAGCTTGGACAGGGCGTCGTCTTATAGGGTGGAGGGTTGGACTACGCACCAGCGGTCCATGCTTGCGAAAACGAGTTCGTCCATTTCGGTGATGGATGACGTGCGGACGGGCTGCACGTGAAGATGGCTGAATCGGGGAGGTCACAGCGCGGAGTGAGGGTCGCTCTGGTGAGGTTCGTGGACGGTGTCGCAGTGACGCCTCACCGGGATTCCACGTCTCCTAGATACACTTACCTGTCTCGAAGGATCCGCGGGAGGCCTACAACTACACATGGTGAGCCACGATGCTTATGGCGGTTGCCTAGATGCAAACCACCGTGTCCGTACTAGATTCTTGTCTTGGTGCGTCGCTCCTACGAAATCCTACGAATCACGAAAAGACTTGGCGCGCCCGCTACATGTGGCAGCAGCTACGGCTTCTTCTTAGAATGGGGGAACTCCATGGACGGGTTGATTATGACCCGATCTTATCTTTTGATAATCAGACATCGGACGGCGTTCCTTTGCGCACGCACCTTACCGTTTAGGGCCATGTGGTGCTCTATGGAGGAACGTTTTTCGTTGGAAGACTACCTAACGGCGAACGGCATTGATGGATGCGGTGATTGGTTCTTGACGGTTGCGGCGGGTTAACGGGCCGCAGAGCTTCATCCGGTGTCTATGGGGCGCGGGCTTATATTAACCCGGCCGCGTAGCCGATTCAAATCTCACGTGACGAGGCCTTGTTGCCAAGCACCCAGGCGGGTCAGGAGGGCGCCCGTGGCAGGTGGTATCAATACGAGTCTACCGCCATCGCGTCGTGTCAGGTTGTCGATATTTCAGGGCTAACGAGGTCCTTTTTTCGAGTCTTAATTTTCGCATCCGCGCCTTCTCCGAACCCTTGTGTTTGGAACGCACAACGGTCGCCGGAAATATGAGGGACCCGGAGCCTGAAAAGAACAGTGCTTCGTCATCCCCTCCGTCCACTGCATCTCCTCCCTTTGACACCGGGACTGGTCTCTTGGCCCGGAACGCCACATCCCGGTAGTCCGGAAAGCAGCATCGGGGCGGGAGTGCGGGGGGTTTGTTTGGATGAAGAAGCTAAACTGAAAAGACTGGGGACCGAGAGCTCACGGCACGTACCTGTAGTTTCTTCTCCCCTTCTTTCCATGTCCTTCTGTCTAACCCTTCCTCATAACACAAGCGACGACCTAGGTACCTAGTCCGTCGTTCTTTCAGAGTGGGGCGGGCCGGCTCTGTCGGCCACGCCACGGCAATTCCTCGCCGCGTTGCGCAATCCACGAGTAAGCAAGCGTGCGGTGCTTGCACAGCCTATCGAGGTGACGACGATGCGGCTGGGACGGCATCGTCGCCTTTGCCGCCGTCGATCATCGTCGTCGTTTTCGTCGTGGTGTTGATGAAGTGTCGAGTGTCGCCAATTATGCGGAATGCGTCTCGTTTGTTCACCTCTTCCCTGCTGAAGCTGACCTTGGGCTTTGTCATCCAGAGAGGACTCGTCCTCCTCCCGACTGGTTGGCGACGCATCGGACTTGGGTTCGTAGCGCAGGCAGCAGGCGGGTGAGCGAGCGATGCGCAGCGTCGTTGGTTCCATAGTTGTCTGAAGAAGCTGCATGGGGACGTGTCCTTGTTTCAGTATCCCTGTCAGGGCCTATAAACGACCAGCGACCGCAGCAACGCATACGCTCCAACTTGGGGGACGTGGGAAACAGGGGCTTCTTCTCTCTTTCCATCTTTTTCTGTCTTTCTCTCTGGCTCTCTCTGTGTGCTGGACGACCCTGTCGTTCGACAAGGCTTCCCCTGGGGTCGTCCCGGACGGAGTGACTCGGCCTTCCACTTCGCCCCAGTCTTCTTGCGCCTATTCGCTGCTCCGTCCGTCAACGCCCCTATTTTTTACTACTGGTTCTTTTGCCTTCCCGCTGCATGTGCCTCTGAGGTGCAGTGCAGGCCGCAGCCGCTCGCTGAGGCAGACCACGCTCACTACCTAGCGGTCTCGTCCAAACACATATAGCCCCGGACCCTGTCATCAACCTCCCTCCGGTCAACCCATCTTAATGCCCCCCCCGCCAAGCATGACGACGACGTCAGGTCTGCGACTGGATGAGACCTGGTGAACAAGCTGTAGCGCTTGGCTGTGTCAGTTGCTACCCTGTCCATGGACCCGCGCTGTCCCCCATTCTAAGAATAGAGGGTCGGAATTTTGACTTTGGATACATAGAAGGCCTGCATCTCATCTTCCTGCGTCAATCCGATCCGCTCTTGGTATTTTGGCTTCGTCTCTGCCTTTCCGTACAACATCTGCTTGCGCCTGATAGTCAGCTCGCCGTTCTGCCTTTCTTAAAAATCCCCGAGCCTCCGGGATTCCTCACGCTACCGCACGCCCGACGCATTTCTATCCAGTCGGCCTTTTTCTGCTTACTAGTTCGGTGCCAGCTCAACCACTCGCACTAACCGTCTCCATACGCACATGGCATGCTTCGCCACCATCACGGCTGACGAGTCCCTCCCCACCACCGTGCCGTTTACCGATACCCCCAACCGCCGATACCGAACCGCGGAGGTCTACACTGGATTAGTCGTCTTTCCTGTCCGTTGTCCCGCCTGAATCATCAATGACCTCATAGTACCAAGTCATTCTATTATATCTTGAACCTCCCGGCACCATTATCTTGGCAGCCGGCCGGTCTAGACATCGTATCCGATAAAGAGTTGATGCACTGCAGCTTACTACTATTCACACTACCCTAATAAATGATGAGGTCAACAACATTGCTCGCCTTGGCGGCTTCGCTTCTGCCCGTCGATGGGCTGGTACTCAGGAAGAGTGAGGGCAGTTCACCAAAAGTTGTGGGTTTGGATCTGCACAGAGCAACGATACCATACACTCGCAACAGAAAGGATATGCTGCGGAAGAGGGGTTCTGTACAAGCCACTCTGAGCAACTTGGTGAGTCGGCTACGCATAGCTCTCCAGAGCCCATACTAACTTCTTCGAGGAAACATTGTATTTTGTCAATGGCTCCGTCGGGACACCAGCACAGCCCATGAGGCTACACATCGACACGGGGAGCAGTGATCTCTGGGTCAACACTGCCAGCTCGGGTCTATGCAGAGGCCAGAGCTCGCCGTGTTCGGTGTCCGGCACCTATTCAGCCAACGATTCGTCAACTTACAACTACGTCGGAAGTTGGTTCAACATTTCATACGTTGACGGGTCGGGAGCGACAGGAGACTATGTAACGGATAAGTTCACCATCGGCGGATCGACCTTGAACGACTTCCAATTTGGTGTTGGCTATACGAGCTCTTCACCTCAGGCCATTCTAGGCGTGGGCTACACGACCAACGAGGTACAGGTGGGACGCGCCGGTATGGAACCTTATGACAACCTCCCTGCGAAAATGGTGGCCCAGGGGCTCATCCAATCAAACGCCTTCAGCCTGTGGCTGAACGATCTGGATGCTAGTAGGGGGAGCATTCTCTTTGGGGGAGTCGACACGAAGCATTACAAGGGCGAGCTGAAGACGGTGCCCATTCAAAAGCAGTCCGGTGCCTTTGCCGAGTTCCTCATCACGTTGACGAAGGTGACACTTGGCTCAAAGACTTTGGATGACAACATGGCTCTGGCGGTGCTGCTCGATTCGGGCTCTTCCCTCACCTATCTCCCCGACGACATGGTAACGACCATTTACTCCATGGTTGGCGCCGTTTACCAGCAAGAAGAGGGCGTCGCCTTCATCCCTTGCAACACTGCCAACTCTGGCGCCAACATGACATTCTCCTTTTCGGGAGCCGTCATCACGGTGCCCATGGACGAGCTGGTCCTCGACCTCATTGCCATCACAGGCAAGCGTACTTCATTCTCCAACGGTGTGGACGCCTGCCTCTTCGGCATTGCACCCGCCGGCGACGGCACCAATGTCCTCGGCGACACGTTTCTGCGCTCCGCCTATGTCGTCTACGACCTCGACAACAACGAAATCTCCCTGGCGCCGACGGAATTCAACGCCACGAGCACCAACATCCTCGAGATCGGCAAGGGCAAAGGATCCGTACCGTCCGCTGTTGCCGTTGCGAACCCTGTAGCTGCCACCGCCGGTCTCGTGCGGGGAGGAGGAGGAGGAGGAGGAGTAGGAGGAGTGTCGGGCGGATCAGGCTCGGAAAACGGGGCACCTTCAATGGCGCCTTTGGCGGCGTCATTGCTTGCGGGTTCCGTCGCTTTTGCGGCCGGTCTCTCTCTTTACGTTATCTAAGGCATCCAACCGACGTTGTGGGGAGTTAATGGATGGAAAGCATGGTTATTTTCATCTTGTAATTTTCTCTCTCTCTTTGTTTTCAGCATTGCATTGCGATGGCGTTTGGGAATTGGGAGTAGGGGAAGAGAGAACGTCGAACACGGCTGACAGAATTGCATCGAGCATGGCGTTTGTGGGGTTCCAAAGACTCGATGGTAATCTTATATTTACGTACAGCACTCGTTCCTTCGGAGGAATGCTCGGTGGAGGAAAGAACCGTTCCAAGCGGAAGCTAGCTAGCATGACGAGAGATACCTAGAAGCCGGCTTCATCTTGGTGGGAATTGACTTCTCTGAGAGAGCATTTCATCATCACCAAACAAGTTCACGGTTTCAATATTCTTCGACCAACCTTGATGCATTCTGTAGTTCGATCTAGCTTCTTCTGTGCGTCCGTCGCGTGCGCGCCCCACAAACACCAGTAGGTAGTACAGGCTCTTTTCGTCTGAGCACGTCCGCCCTCCTCCTCTCCTTCCCTTCCCCTCACTGGTCCTGAGGAAATGAGGGCAGTCCCAGCCGGGCGTCCGGTTCCGGTTACAGCTGCTGTGTCGGCCTACGGATCACGGGGTCTACCCCTGATGGGAAATATTGGGTGTGATCCAAAGTTTGTCGGGGGAAAGAAACGTCGCCAAGGGATCCACTTTGGGTTCCTACGCCAAGATGTTTGGCCGTTTCCCCCTTTAGCTTGGCTCGTTTCCTCTCATGCGTTTTGCGGTCGCATCGTCGACAAGCGACAAACGGAGACAGACCCTTGGCTTTCGGAAAAGGGGGGGGGGCCTTCTTTTTACTTCGCTTTTTTCCAAAAATGCTCGGTAGCGAACGGAGACACTGTTTTGCATAACGTCACGGGTTGGAGGATGCCTCGGAACCTACCGGCTCCGCGGCTGGCACCGGGGGGAAGAGATATCGCGAGATGACTTTGGTTCCCCCTGTCTCAAGCGCGCTCGTGGAAGGGGTCCGCAATGGCTCCCACGATGGGCGAGTCCTGGGCGGGTATGTACGGTCGGACGACGCGGTCCACGTACGCCGCCGGCAGGCCAAAGAGCTCGCCTGCCTCGTCGAGGCCGCGGTTCATGCGGCCCACGTACTCGGCCCTTGGCAACGACCGCGTGGTCCTCTCGCCGTCGACGTAGACGAGGGCGGTGATGCTTGCGCCCTGTTGCGGGCCGGCGTCACCAGCGGGCGGGGAAGCAGGAGGCGCGGCCGCGGTGGAGATGGCGGTGGAGACGACTGTCACATAAAGGTCGTGTTTTTGGTACGCGTAGGGCACGCCTTCGCACACGTCGAGGGTGGCCTCGTCGGCAGGCGGAAGGGTGTAGAGGACGCCGTAGACGCCGGGGCCGGCGGGGTCCGTGGGCGGTGCGGGGGCATCGTCCTCGGGGGCGGTGCGGACGACGTTGGCGTAGCCGCGGGAGTTGATGATGAAAGTGTGGCCAGCGAGGTGGGCCAGGCCGACGGGAACGGAGGACGGGCAGCGCAGGGACATCTGGGTCGGGGAGAGGTTGGAGCCGTAGGCGAAGTAGAGACGAGGCGACGAGGCGGGCATCTTTCTTCTTGTGTTAAGTTAGTTTGTGCTGTGAGGTGAGTAGGTATAGATGGCGGAGTTGTGAAGTGCGAAACTGTGGCGACGACGCTGAGAATGAAGACTTTCCGCAGCCGAGATTTTCGGTTCCGATATTCTTGCTTTTTCTAGGATGACAGACGCTCTCAATAGTCTTGCTGATGGATATAAGTCAACTTCCAGGGGAGAAGGAGTGTAATATGAGCTGTTGGGGGGCCAAGGTGAAGGAAGCGATTGGAAGAGTCAGAGCCACCTGCAGCTGCACATGCGGGGAATTCCGCTGAAGTCCGCTGGTTTGTTGCCAGCACTTATCAAGCATACTCCGACGGTCTCAACTTTTCACTCTTCTCACCGAATCTCTTTCATTCAACCACCCAAGACGTGACATAGAAGTCATCGAGACACAATATGCAGCTTGGTCTAAGGAATGTTGACGACTACGATGGTTCTGCATAGATAGAGATGTGGGTTTTCCAGTAGTTACGAGGGTCTTTGGTGTTCTCTTTGGATAGGATACATTTGCTTCTCTGTTATCTTTGCAACTCACATGTTCCCATGCGAGCTTGCAGGCATCAAGCTTTTCCAACGAAAACAAGGAAACACGCTGATCAGTAGGATTGAAGAAACTAAACTGCGAAACGTACTGTATACCGCATGTCTCTATTCCTTGTCTATGGTCAACGTTGTCACAATTCTCGAGACCGCATCCCCGCTGACCCAATGATTATCCCCTTCCCAGTGGCCTTTTCTTACTTCGCCATCTCTTAGTTTGACTAGTGCAGGGCCAGTTCCGTATTCATGTATCCAGACAGCGTTCCATCGAGGCTCATTTGTCCTGCGTTATTATAAGAGAGCGTCACGCCGGATAAAGAGGTTGAGAGCGCTGCGGATTGCGCTTTGAAGGCTCTGTATCGCCCCAATACCTCGTAGAGTGGAGAGTATCTGCTAGAAAATGCTGTCTATCGGGCCCAGGTCAATGCGATCTTGTAGCAATCACAATCTCTTCCCAGCCGGCCAACGTGTCTGATCTAAAGAAGCGTCCTGGCCATGGACTTCACCGACGTGACTTGCTACCAGGTAGATGTCGTTTTGTTGAACCCTAAAGCCCGGTTTCGCCATCGTCGTCTCTAACAGCCCGCTCCTGAAAACAGTCTTCGACACCACCGTCGGCCGCTTCTATTCGCTCCGCAGCGCAGCGACGGAACCCACTCAAGAAGGCGACACAAAGCCCATAACATTCCGGACTATCGGTCAGTGCGGGCTGCTTGGGTCAAAATCTCCAAGGGCGGGCTGGTGGAGGGAAGTTCAGCCAGATGCATTCGACGCACAGCGACGAGGACCTGGAGCTGGGCAGGTTGCGGGAGAAAAGGCAGGTTGTCGCTATTGTGACAGCCGAGAGAAGGCAGTCGGAGGAGAGCATGGTGTATCTCAGTGATGTTCATAGTCCATGGGCTAATCAGATATACCGCGCCGAAAGGTGGTGTGAAGCCAGACGTCCACCGACACTCGTATTTCGTGCATCTCGTCGTGCCAAACACGTATCGCGATGTTCTTCGCGACGGCAGTCGAGAAGCTAGTAGTACACGTCTCCCTTCATCAGCACTCGTGCTGTACGGTGGAGATCTGCCGACCTGATCTTCCCGTCATCGAAAGTAGTTCCGATGTCTACCTTGCCGCTTGGGTGGCCGATGACGATGGAGGTCTTTGATCGATTCCCGGCGAGCTGGGCCGGAATGGTGCCCGGAAGCTGACTTGCAGCACCGAGACATAGCGCAAGCGTCAGTGGAACAGCTTTGTGCGCCTGTCCCATGGACATTGCCAGGCAGCGGATGTCCACTTCGGGCGAGCGGGTATCGGAGAAGAGCAGCACGATCTTGGGGATGCTCTCCACGTCGGGGTTCAGCCCCATAAGAGAAGCGCCGGCGCCCCGGATTCCGTCTAGCTTCATCTTCAGAGAGGCATCTGCTTCGACTGTTTGTGGCGACAGGTCCTCCGGTTGAGGGATGCCCAAGTCTGCAGCGCGTATAAAGACGCCTGGGTTACTGACGTCTACCAGTGATGCCTGTATGGTAGTCGCGTCTGGGAGGAGCAGCCAATCGCAGGCATTTCCCGTGGGAAGTGCTTTGCCCGTCTTGGCTCCGGCTGGGTCCAGGAAGCTGAGTGTGATGGGCGAGTTGGTGCCGGGTACACCATCCATGGCATAGTCGCCGTCGGGAGAGTACCTGGGCGGGCTTCCACTGACTCTGAAGCGCGCCGAGATAACCTTGGACGTATTGGTGTTGAAGATACGTACGGTAGCAAACTGCTGGCCATCGACTTCTTCGATGGGCGGGTCCATGATGAGACCTTCGTCCAGGCTTATCGGCCCTACGGCTGAAGACATATTGCCGCAGTTCCCGGCCATGTCGAGGTTGCCATCCTTGATCCCGACTTGCACGAAGGTGTAGTCCACGTCGACACCAGGCCGCGATGGGGGCGACAGCACAACGATTTTGGATGTCGATGATATGCCCGAACCGATGCCGTTTAATTGTCGACCATATGGGTCCGGGGAGCCCATAGCAGCGGGCAAAACTCTGTGCCATTCATTTTCTGGAGGGAGGTCGCGTCTGTGAACGACGAGGCCGTTGGAGGTGCCACCGCGCATGAAGATTGCGGGAAATGAGCGTGATGACCAACGACGCGACACAATTACGCCATTGAAGAGTTTGGAGAAGGCGACAGGCAGCCGAGGCCTGCTGAGATTTCCCAGAGTGCCGCGGTGGATTGGTGAGAACATTTCGCTCGTGAGGAAGTTGGATGGACAGACGGCCCGTAATATGAGATGGAACGGTGACAGATGGAATGAAAGACTGGTGGAAAATGGCAAACCCCCCTGCCTAATTTGGTGGGGCAACTGTGACAGGAGCCGTAAGTGGCATTCCTACCTCTCTGTAGCGTCTTCTAAATTGAGGGCCATTGGGAAGTAATGTCTCCCTAACTATTCCTGTAGCCTCTGAGTGCACCCGTTAAACAACGCCAAGGCGGGAGCATCCGCATCTTGATCCCTTGTAAGCATCCTGAGATGCAAGCCTTCAACGGTTGAAAGGTGCTATCTCTCAAAGGCCAGATATACTTTCCTCGGGAACGGAAGACAGACTTAGAGCCAAGGAGCAGGTTCATAATCTATATTGGTCGGCCCAGGTCCATTCTCTACCGCCGCTTCCTAGGCGTTATCAATCTGTCTTATTCCGAACCATGATGTGGACCGCTTCAGAGCCCAGATGTTCCTTGGGAAAGAATAGGATAACATATAAAAGGGAACAATTGGATATAAGAGGAATGAGTGAAAGAGAGTCGTTTGGAAAGAAACACAGAAAATTGAAGTACCGGCGTTCGAACTGATGAGCCGAAGTTATGGCCGATTCGGCACCGAGTTTGACATCGAATCCTCCCAGATACGACTGAGATCATGAGGCCCCGCCAGACCACTTGTTGTTGTTGTTGTTGTTGTTGTTGTTGTTGTTGTATTTAACGCCGGGACGTTCCTGTAGAGGACAAAAGGCGCCTGGGGCAACTGGCTTCTAGGATAACATCCACAGCCAAACCAAATGTGCCGCTCGCGTGTCACCTATCTGCCAGCCTCCCAGAAGGTCAAACTGTCCCCTAGTTGCCCGTCGAGGGCCTCTAGGGGCACCCGTGTGCCTCGCCATACAGTGCTATTCACACATCCATGTCGTTACGAAGTACTCCCCCCTGCGTCGCAAGGGAGCCGCCAGACCACTTCAACCTAGCTGGAGATAAGCATGAATGTCCGAAGTAGCTGGAGATAAGCATGAACGTCCGAAGGACGGGGTTTTCTTCTTCTTCTTCAATTTAATCGAAGATGGATTCAATCACATGATGGTGGATAGGTTTAACGCCTGGTGGGTGCTATGAGATAAGAATCCTTCTCGCCGCCCGCCTGCTCCGTCGTTGCTCGTTCCATGCCGAAGATCAACCCCAGTGTAATATCTTCAACCCAATCGTCATGGAAACTATGATACGATACGTCGAGGTCTCACTCAGCTGGATCTCTAAGAACATCCGCGGCCACGATGCCAAGGCATTCTATAACTCCCCCGTATTCGCCTCGCACGCCGACCCAACCATCACTGTCACATCACCTGACTGCGGCGAGTCCCCCGGGACAATGGGCCCAGAGTACATCGGCGGCAGCGGTGGCCGGATTCCGGCGCTCTCTTGGGACGTCCCGAGCGATCTCGAGCCGGAGGTGAGGGAGTGGCTCCTCGTCGTCGAGGATATGGATGCCCCCTTGCCGATGGCCATCTGCCACGGGTGAGCACTGCAACGTTTTCTTCCACGACAGCGGAGGAACAGACTGACGTTGCGTCTAGCATCTATGGTGGGATCGCCCCCGAGAAGAGGCGGGTAAGCCCAGAAGACTTTGGGGTAGAGGACGAGAAGAGGTCTCTTCTGAAAGGGGGTTTTCATTGGGGCAATGGGTGGAGACGGGGTGCCGTTTATGCCCCTCCGAGGCCGCTGATGAACCACGGCGCCCACAGATGTGAGTTCCTGGGTCCATGGCCATCCGTGACGACAGCGCATTGACCGACGAGCAGATTTTTACCAGGTCGTGGCGTTGAGCGAGGCCTTGGATAAGAAGATGCTGGAGAATCGAGCCGCCAAGGAGCAGTTCGCCGAAGCCATTAAGGGAAAGGTGCTGGGTTGGGGGATGTGGATAGGAAGCTGTGAAAGGAAATGGGTTTGAGATGAGATATAGGGTGATGGGGGAAGGGCGATATTAGGTTCCATGGCGTTACTCAAAATGGCACACTTCATCGGTATGCCGCCAGATTACTATGGGAGGTATACGGTCTTACGCGTGAAAATGCTTCCGTTACAATGTCACGACTCAGTCTGTGTTCATTGTACAAGAACGAGAAGACCAGCACGCAAGTCTCCCTCCTCCATTTCCTCTTCTCAAACTCACCAATCCGTAAGTTAACAGAAAGAAAGCCCCAAGAAACCTCGATGCAAAAACGCCCCAAGGATGCGCCGGCTTTGGATGCAGAAAAGAAGAAGCCCCCCTTCCCCGCCTTATACCTACCTGCCCCCTTATGAGAGCCCGAGGAAGTTCGGCTCTCCTCCGCCGCCCGCCGTCCAGTCGAAATCGTCCATCAACATCGACCAGTCGATGTCCTGTAAGAGGTCGTTCGTCGGCACTACGCCGCCCGTTCCATTGTTGCCCGCATCCGCCGCCCCCACCGCCGCTACCACAACGTCAGCAACGCTCACACCGGACCCGCGCGCCCTACACTCACTTATCGACGCCGTCCCTGCCGCGCCTGCCCCTCCCAGCCCACTGGCTGCCGCACCCGGCCCGCCGTGCTCAACCCTCGCCTGCTCCAGCTCCTTCTTCCACCTTCGCAGCGTCCCGAACGCTATCACGGCGCCCGTACGGTGCGGGTACCGCGAGATGGGCGCTTCCAGCGCGGGCAACATGTGCCGTAGGCTCCAGCAGCTCTCCAACATGCGCAGTACGCGCGTCGCGAAGTCCCCCTCCTGTACGGAACACCGGCGCAGCGCCTCCTGGGAATTTTTGATCGACACCTCGGCGTTGGCGATCTCGACGTCAGTCGCGTGGCCGGACATCAGCACGTCAAAGACAACGGCGACGGCGTCGAGGATCGTGCGGAAGATGTGCTGCGGCGCGTGGGCGAGAAAGCGGCAAGAGGCATCGAGGCGCAGGCTTAGGTTGATAAGAGCCTGGGCCGTGCTATAGGCGCGGTTGACGTTGTTCCGGAAGGTGTGTTTGTCGACGGTCGAGAGGGGAGTGAAGTAGTAGGACTGCAGCTCGAACTGGACTGCGAGGATGGTGAAGAGGTCGAGGTCTGGAGAGTCAGGCGGGGTCAGTGGGATAAGTCAAGCACGAGATGGGTTGTAGACGGACCTGAGTTGTGTCGGGACTGGAGCTGCCGCAGCTTGTTCAACTCATCCTCCAGCAGCTGGATCACGGTGTCGGGCACGCCCTCACCTTCTTCCGCGACGGAGAACATGGTCCGGCTCAGCCTGTTGGAGAACTTTTGCATCTCGTACAGCAGCCCAAAGTATCCCAGGGCGTCTGGGAGCGATCTCCCGGCAGCAGCCCGGTTCACGGCCTCGTTGAAGAAGCCAGCCGGTGGTGGGAGCCCGTTACTCGACGCAACCCTATATGCGCGTCAGCTGCAATGACAAAACGACAGTCTACACACCAACACCCAACAGCTTTGCTTTAAACCCCCTAGACGAACAAAAAAGGTTACCTCTGCGCCTGGATGTTGTACCCCATCCACGTAAAGCAGGCTTCCTCGTCCGTAATGTCCGTCTGCCTGTTGGGCCCGATGCAGAACTCGGGATGGGTACCGCGGCCCGTATGCATGCCCAGGAGCAGTGCGGCATTCTGGGCGATGGCGACGTACGACGAGCTCGGGTCGTTGAGGAAGCGGATTGTCGGCAGCGGCCACGTGCACAAAACCAGCAGCGCGTTGACGGTCGACATGCTGATGGGCGGTGTCGACACGGCGGCCCAGACCTCGCGGGGCAGGTTCTCGGCGAGGAACGGGAACAGCTCTGCGTCCCTCGTGTACCGCCGCGACGAGACGGCGATGAGCGTCCAGAAGAGGACAGGACTCTGCTTGTACATCCTGTCCGGGTCCTGGGAGCGGACAATGGGAAAGTAGGGGTGGAAGTGCTCAAGGTACCTAGCAGAGGTCTTAGCCCGGGGTGTGCGTGCATTCGTATAAGGAGAAGGAGGAGGAGGAGGGGTGTGAGGGGACGTACTGGTCAAAGTAAAAGTCAATGTCTTCACCAGACAGCACCTTGGAACCCAGCGCCCGCGGCTGCGCGGGCTGCCTCACGGGCCCCGTCGGCGTCGTATGCGATGTGAGGGTCGGCGTCGGGACCTGCTCCATCGACCGCGTCTGGGGTACGGGTGAAAGAGCCGGCAAGCTCACTCGCGACGCGGATGGGGGTGGGCGGTTGTGGTCCGAGAAGACGCCGACGGCGGGGTACGCCGTGTCCGGGCTCGGGAGCGGGAGGGCCGCAGCTGGCAGGGCGGGGACGGTGGAGGAGGCCGGGTGTGGGTTGACGGCATTCTTGATAGTCTGGACTTCCTTCTCCAGCTGTTCTAGCTTGCTATCGTTGTCACAGACAAACGTATCAGATCAGGGGAGTTTCTCCATTGTGCCAACACCAAACGCAGACAGGGGCACAGGGAGAACAACACAGCAAAAAAGAAAATAAATAAAAAGGGTTAGGCACCTTCTTCTGGTCATACGCTTATGGGATTTGTCAACAACACATTGGATCCCTAGCTTGGAGCAACGCTGACATGGCTTGTTGGGCGTTGGGCTCGCATTACATTTCACCTGTTAACAGTCGGTTCAACGGCCGTTTCATTAGCATCTAGTGTTCACCCGATACGAGATGGCGGCATAATCAGAGAGCAAAGAAGAAGAAGAAAAAGAAAAAAGAAGGGGGGGAGGGGGGGTTAGTAGAAGCGATTCTCATTTGGCATCATCGGTTTTCGCCGACGTTGGATGAGGTGTCACCCGCACGGTACCCGACCCCAGACTCCCTCTGTGAGACCATACACGACCAATTGGAACATATTCCGTGGGAAACCAACGTGGGATGGGCACAGGGGTATGTGGAATGTGGCGGCAGATGCATACCAATGTTCCGAGATGAACTTGACAAGGTACAACAAGTCTTCCCAAAGAGATGAAAAAAAGAGAGAGAGATACATAGTAGATAATGAGAACCCACCTTGGAGTCGCGACAACTCGTGCAGGCTGTATTGCGCCGGATCCGATTCGGCACTGGGGAGCTCGGCGAGGTATCCCTCTGTGCCGAAGCAGGGCTCTTGAGCGGCGGGTCCATCTAGGAGGGTGGTGAGAACCTAAGCAGGTGCGCGCGCGCGGGCGCGTGTGCGTGCGCCGTCGAGAACCTCTTCCTTCAGTCCTCAAAGGTAGGGGGGGGGCAATTTACTTTTTTGCGCAAACGGACTGACTCTGCACTCCGAGGTTCCTGACGCTGGTAGCAATGGTGGTTGTTGATGGAAAGTGGAGAGGGGGCATTCGGCGCGGTTTCGGCAAATGGGATAGACGGGCATTGATAAATATGTACGGAGTATCCGTAGGTGAGAGAGAAAGAACGAAGAGTAACTTGACGATCACGTGCGCTACGTGGCTGTGACAAACTCTTATCAGGGAACTCGGAGATAACCAAACGCCGTGCATCTCACAGTCGTTCAAAGTCAATTCCATCAACCAAGACTGGGAGAGCCGCGGTGGAATATGGTGATATTGGAGTTTTCTTGTGACTGAGATGTGAGAGGCGTCGCTGTCGCACAAACAATGCATTCGTAACTTCACTGTCTACTGTATCCGCGCCCTCTTGTGCGCCCCAAGTGCTGAGACATTGATTACAAGCGTACCTCTCCGTCGACATCCACCAACCGCCCTTGGAAATACTTCCGTTTCCATCATCTAATCTCCGCCGTACACATGTTCCCAAATCCCATTGGATACTACTACCTATGCCATCGCAGATCATAACTGTCACTTCGTGATTTCAAAGAACCCCTGAGGATGCCCAAAATGACCCGCTAGTTATGCAATCCATCCCCATAACCAAGACACAGCCGGCTGCACCCCTATCCGTCGCATCATCGAACGTTGTGCTATTCGATAAGGCAACCTACGCACCCCCTATTCTGCAAGCCGCTCCGATTTCTCTATCCCGGACCTCCAGTCTCATTCAGACCTGCTGTTGCTGCTGCCACCGCCGTCGTCACTTCCCCCGACTCGGTCCACATCAAGTCGTCCATATTGGCCATGATTGCCCACGGGTCCATCCCCATGCCGGAGGGGATCGAATCAAAGTTCATGTTCATGAACGAGATCGGCTCCGTGCTCGGCGCGTATTGCAGCCCTCTCGAGTCCCACGTCGACGAAGAGGACGCCCCCGTGCCGCCCAGCGTGGCGTTCTGTATGCTCGTGATGTCGACGACCTCGTAGGCGTTTCCGCCGCCGCTATAGCTGCTCTGCGTACTCCCGTCATCGGGCGACGTGCTGCCGAGCCCAACCCCGGGAGGCGTGTTGTTGCTGCTGCTGCTGCTGCTGTCGCCCGTGGACAGCAAAGTCGCGCTTCTGTCGAACGCCGGCGGAGTCCGGTGCGGTAGGTTGATACGCGGGCTGGGCGCCGGCTTCATGACGCCCGTTCGGGGCAACAGGCCCTTCCCGAAACCGCCCACGCCGTTGATGCCGTTCTTCAAAGGAGCCGATGGGGCCCGCATGTCGGCATTGGACGACGGGAAGCCGCCGCTGAACATCCCAGCCTTGGAGCGGGTGTCTTCTTCCAGGCAAGTCGTCGGTGACGTCCGTCTTCTCTTGTTGGAACTATTGTCGTCGAGTCCGCTTGTTGCTGTGACCTCGCCCATGTATCCGACAAAAATATCACGCGGGTGTCCAGCGCCGCCGGCGATGCTCGTGGTGGTTGGCTTGGTGTCCAGGGAGAAGCACCCGGCATCCATCGTTATATTGTGCTCGTACTCCACTCCGCTGAGGCCGGGTTCGTAGGCCGTGCCCTTTGGGTTGCCGAGCGGCAGTCTGCCGGGCAGAGGGGGCTGGATCTCGGTGTGTTTTGATATCGAGCTCCTCGCAAGGAGGGGAATATTTGAGTATGTCCACCCAAACTGGTTTTTGTAGTTGCTCAGGCCGGGCAGGTCTATGATGCCCGCTAGGCCATTCCGTTCGATGTCCATAAAGATTTGCTGCAAAAAGGCCTTGGTGATGATGTGCTTCCGCCCGATCGCCTCCATCGCGGTGATGATGAACTTGAGGTTCTGTAGATCCGCCGTCGATACACCGGCTTCCGGGTCGCACTTGGCAGAGTATACATACACCGACGCGGCCGTGTACAGCGATAAGGCGACCATGGGACTCTTCTGCGGACATTTGTCAGACATTGCGAGGCCCTGACCCGCGCCGGGGGCTGTGAACTTACGTAGCCCGAGTTCACGTGGCTCGTCGACTTTACGACATTCACTACCTCCTCCGCTGCTGTTCGCAGCCTAAGCATCGATGCTGCCTTCAGTTTCTCCGGCAGGTTGTACCTCTCGATCCTGTCGATCGCCGCGTGGTGCAAACAGATGACGGAAGCATGCAGGTTGAGGTTCGTGTGGACAGCCGTGGGATCGCGCATGCCGTGGGGCAAGCGGAAGCGTTCCGGGAGGAACATGAAGGCGCTCGAAAGCATGTTGTCAATGTCCCTGTGTCGGGTCCAAAACTCGCCGTACTCAACGTCCGTGGGCCGGTCGTTCGGTCTCTCCCAGTGCACGTGCTTCAGGAGCTTGTTGAAGATGAAGCAGACTACGACAGCAGCCGCGAATGTGGAGTATGAGGCACCTTTGAACGCCTCTGGCAGGGTAGCAGTAGTCTCCTCCAAGCCCAAGTTGAAAGCTTCCTCGGAGGAAGGAAGATGCGTCGAGATCTATCCATGTTAGCATTGTCTCCCCCCTCCGGTGGTGTATATAAGGACTCGTTGTATTTACTTCGTTGGGGTCAATCAGCGTCGGCCACCCTGTAGCGATACTAGCATGGCAGTCGATGCAGTAGGCTCCCCAAAAGGTTCGTCTTCGTTCCTCCAAGTCCACCCACGAAGTAGGCGGCGCAAGCGTGGGGGCCATCTCCTGGCCGTCCCCGTCGACACGGTGCAGACCCATCATCTCTACGAGACGGACACACTTGGCTGAGCTCATGGCCGCCCTTGTGAAGAACAGGCTTCTTGCTTCGTCTGTCGAGATTAGAGCCCACGCTTGAGCGTGTTGCACCGTCAGGAAGTGCTCGCCGAGCCCCTAATGCCAGAGTAAGCATCGCCGCTGCCCTCCCCGAGACCACGATCCAAGCTCACCTTCATCTCATCAGCGTCGGCGTATTGCCGAGCTCGTTTGTAGAAGATGTCGTGGTACTGCGCATACTTCTCATGCCCATTGGAGGCCATCGTCCAGACCGCATATTGCAAACACATGGGCGGGCGCTTGTGAGGCGCGGAGTAGAAGGACTGCAGATATCGGCCTGGGTGGATGATGGGGATGAAATGATGTTGGCGTTCGAAGAAAGTCTTGTTGCTGCTCGGGTCAGACACCCAATGTGTGGTGGATGGGCTTCAGTAATGACGTACAGCTCTTCCATCATCTCGAAAGGGGGCAAAGCTTCGGAGAGCCCGAGCCCTATGAGCTTCCCCGACGATTCGGCAAAACTAGGCCCCTGAGGTCCATCTTCAGGCGCCCCGGGAAAGAATTCGTCGGTATTTTCACCAAACGTCCCGTTCTGCATTGCCGTAAGCGTCTCCAGACCAACATGGAAGTCGTCCAGGACAATGCTGACCCCGCTGTCCATGTCGCCCTCGTTTGGCAACCCCCCCTTGGTGATCTTACCCGCTTCTTTGAGAAGATCCTCCACCTGGGCTGCAAGTCTTGATGAGCAAAGGGACCGAGCAGGAGGAGCGCGCAATACCCTTACCTAACCTCTCCTCGAGCTCCTTTACATTCTTCCGCTTAAAGGCGGGTTTCCTCCTTGACTCTGGATACACACATTCTCCTTTGACTTTCAAGCAGCGGCTGCATGCCGGCTTCACTCGGTCACACTTTAGCTTCCGGGATCGGCAAGTCACGCATGCCAGGGGCTCGGAGCCGGTACCGGGAGAGCTCGGACGCTCCGATAGCACGCCGCCTTCGGTATCCATGATGAGCAGCAAAAGCTTAGTTCCGAGGAAGAATGAGGGAGAGAGCCAGCCGCAAGTGGGCCCCAAGGCCGAAGCCGATTTCACGGTGACTCGGCCAAAGAGGGTGGGACGGCAACCTTAGAAGCGGCTCGGGAGGCTGTAGCGTAACGCAAATGGCCAACGGAAAACCAAAACGGGTTGCATAAAAAAAACCATGAGTGAGCAATGACCTCAGCCTGCAGTGTTTTTTCCCCCTTCCTTCCTGTGTGGCAGTACTATTGGGAGCAGGTGCATCTATACCACGTGCGCGTAGGTTTCAGTCGTCCTTCATGTCTCGGATAGTTGTTGCCCCGATGTCCGATGTCCAAGATGGGTCTGGCTTCTCTATATGATTGGTTCCATCCACCTGTCTATGACGAGTCCGTCTTCACTCGCCCAATGAGATCGAGCCTTGGCATGCGGTGCTGGCCAGCAAAACGTTCTTCTATAGGCCTTAATCCACGTGCATCACACAAGTCTTACCCAGCGGCGCTCGAAGGCTGGCGTTCCTTCCGATGAAGATCTTCGGGTCCGACCCCGGCTCCCGTCCGCTGGATTTCCGTTCTTCCGTCCGTCGGACTCATGTGGGGCACACGCTGACCACATCATTTGGTGACGCGGCGACTTCTCCGATAAACGTCTTGGCATTCAGTTCCGGACCGGCTGGGCAAGCTACCCAGCCCTCATCCGCCCCCACACCAAAGCGCCGCCGCTGGTGGCTCTTGGCTGATAACCGTCGCCCCTAGTCACGCTGGGACTGATCACGACACCGTGTCGGGTTGACTGCATAATCGCTTACATTCGCGATGACGAGCCTTTGAGTTTGTCTCGTCGAAACGCGAACGATAATTCTCGGTGCCGCGCCCAGAGAGCGACATCGCTGGGCTGGACAAAAGTTGATGCAGTTGCCACTGCGCTCGGGCCACATCGAGATGGTCGCCTACTGCCATCCCAACTGTGCTGTCACAGCAAGTCGGCGTGAAAGTGACTTCAACAGGCACCCCAGCGGTCAGATGGGCCGTTCCCATTTGCTTTTTCCTTTCGGTGGAACAATCAGTGAAGCGTTTGGCTGTCTCAAACCTTAATTCTTCAGAGGGGAATGAATGGAAGATATGGCGGCCACAATGGGCAAGTGCATCAGGAACGGCCGCCACTGACGATGGCTGTGGTCGGAACCGCTGCTACCGCCGAGGCCCCCAGCTCGCGGCCCGGGGTTGTGACTTGCAACGGAGTCGAAATTTAACATTCCAGCATGCAGGTGTGAGATATTGCCACTAGTCTCACCTCGATTTATCCCTTTCAAACCAGGACATGGGACGAGCGTGGAGAATAGACTGACGTACATCAAACGCTACCGTCCACTCGTTTTTGCCATATTTAGGTCAATGTCCATCTCTCAGTCTGGTTTGAGACCAAACGCGGCATGCCATCCTAGGAGTCTAAAAGTTCGACTTGCAAGCGAGACAATCGGAAAGGAGGCACTAAATCACTACCTTTTGGCACATGCGGTTGATATCCCAGTCAAGCGCCAATCTCCAGACGTTATCGTTAGAGGCGGGCACAGGGCCCGTTGATCATACATAGTACAAGGTCGGGGATGCAGCACCATAGCCCCAGGGTGGGACAGCCCAATGACAAATTCGACACGAGCGTTGGCAATGAAGACCATGGCTGCATGGATGAGACCACGGGGCTGCTGAGATGGCAACGCTGCCAAGAGCTGGATTCTGAACAGAAGTTACCCTGGCCGCCACCTCCCGTAAATTAACAACTCGCGGCGCTGCAGCGGCTATAGAAGCCGCACAGCTCTGGTGAAACCTTACTCATGGGGGTGGAAAGGAAGCTTGGATGGCATCTCGGGGAAACCAGGCAAGGGAAACAAACCGCAGCGGACGATGGTGTGACGGGGAGTTGAAGCTCGCTAAGCTTGACAAGCCGAACGGACCCGAGGGTTGCGGTGTTTTTCTTCTTCTTCTTCTTCTTCTTCTTCTTCTTCTTCTTCTTTTTCCCCCTTTCTTTTTTCTTTTCTGCTGGCCTTTTTTGATGGTGCACGACTGAGCTGAACAAGATCTGCAGTGGCTGGCCTAGGCTTCATGATCTTTCTTCGTTCTCAAAGATTGGCGGCATGGATACAGAGAGCCCTACCATGCCTGCTGCGTTTTATTCATAGAGTTGTGCCCAGCCAACACATGGCTGTTTATTCGTAGGGATGACTAACTATGTCATCTTATGCCTCTCAAAAGTTGAATGAAAGGGGCGGGGGTGGCTTCAGTTGGGGGGTTTCACGCCAATAATAATTTCGCCGGCCTACTGCCTGCCAGTGGTTTCTTTCAGCACTTGTCATCTGAGCGTCGTCGTGTTCCGGACACACACACACACACCAACCAGCTAGCCACTCACTCATCGGACCAAAACGTCGTCCAGTGAAAGGGCCTCGGCCGATGACAAGTTTCGCGGCGCGGAAAGGCAACAGGGATCGTCGACCGTTGCGATTCAGGGCAACCCCCCCCCCCCCCACACTGTACACATAGTTGCTTCGAGCACAAAAGACGAGCCTGCGAGTGTTGGACTGGGGAAGCGTGACGAGTGGCGAATGCTATTCAAGAGAAACCAGGGTGCTGACAGCCATGGATTGGGAAAATCTTCAGAGGACATCATGATTCGAGAAGGGGAGAGGGGAAGCAGGGACAAGTCGGGATTTTTTTTCTTTCGGAATCTGCCACGCACCTTGGCACCTCTGGCTTAGAAGACCAGTAGGCCTTGGCAGTCGTGCTTGCTTTCAGCCCGCAGACAGAAGTCATCCCAAGAAGGCAAACTATGGGTAGCGATGGAGGGCACATCAAGATTGTGCCGTAGATAGCAGCAGCAGTGGCTTGGCTGCCATGACTATGAGAGACGCCTCCTGGCCCCTGTCTCGAGTCAAGAATCGGAGGGGTAAACCATTGTAATGACAGAACATGACACTGGTTCGGCGGAGATTTTTCGAATATGGTTTAGCGTCAACAAAAACGCATAGCTGGCTGACTGACAGGGCGCCCAATGTCTGTCTGCGCTACACCACATTGCCCCATCAGATTCGGACGTGAACGTGTCGGGATTGCGTGGGTTGAGTGAATGTTCAGCAGCCTTTGGCAATCCAGTGACAAGAAAACTTCAGCAAAGACAGCTGCAAGCGGGCTTGGAAGTGTGGCGTGACGTCCTATGAGCTTAAAACAACAAAACAAGACTGCTGCTGTCAGCACGCACTGGGAGTGTGACTGAGGACGCCCGCCCGCCCGCCTGTACACCCACGTATCCCTACTAGGTAGTGTAGACGCAAGCATGCAACTGGGAGGTAATGACTGACTGCAGACCCTCTTCCCTGTTGGACCGGGATGGATGTGCTGGGTACCCTGGAGCGGGCTGCTGGGGAAATATCCCGATGGTTTACACAATGTTGCGATGCACGAAGTGGATATATCTGAGGAAGTTGCTTAAATCACTTATGGACTCGGGTCTCCGCCCCTTGGTCAGAACCAATGTACATTGTACGATAGAAACCGAGGCAGTACCCGTACTCATTTCACCTTCTTCAGGGTCAGATACATACAAACCCACTCATGTACACAAAGCAGCAGCATTGCCGCAGCAGCGTAGGACTCAACCAATTTGGAAGGTACTACCTAGCCATTGCACGATAGGACTCCAGACTGGCAAGCATGGCACGTACTGCGTATGCAGGTGAGCAGGTACCTACCTAGCTAAGTAGGTAGACGGGGCAAGTGCAGGGACAGGGACAGGGACATGGGCAGGGGTTTGGGTCGGTACGTATCTTGTGTACCCCCGATCGCGTCTGGCTCATCGTCGACTTTGACAAACGGCAGGTACGTACATACACGGGATCCGGACGGCAGCCAGATGAGCGACCGGGGCCAGGGCGATCATCTGTGAAGAAGTAAAGCAACGGTAGGCAGAAAACGGGGCACTGGATGCTCTGACAGCCTCAACCGGATCATTACCCACTTGGCTCATTCTTTGCCCGCTCCATTTCCCCTTCACTGATCACACCCAACGTTACAATTGACCTTGCCTGCCCCATGTTCCGGACATCGATTATCGAGAATCACTGTTGCAGCAGGGCCTGGAGACAACGTCCGACTCCCCGATGCTCCCGCTCTGTGACTTGCTCTTTCTCCTTCCGAGACTCTGGGATGCCATCAAGCCTGGTCAGGCCACTACCTACCCACGAAGGGTACGTGGTCGGGTAAACAGTACGTTAAGGCTATGCCACTTTTGGTGAGGCATCATGTACTCTGTACTTATGGCTATCCATCTTAGGTAGGTCTGATCTGTTCTTACCTGTAGTGTATCCAGGTGGAGCTCTCTGTACAGTACGTACCTCTATGTTCTCTCTCCCCTCTTTTTTTCCTACACACACGCACACATGCCAGGGACCGGTCTCTGGAGCACCTAATCCGAAGGGCACGTGAGGTACGAGCCGTCTTCGATTTCCAGAGCTGGACAACGTTCCTCCATTCACAGCCCTGCATTGTCTGACCTCAGTTGAGTCTGCCACCACCAAACGTCTTCCCAACATCACAGTTACATCCTTGACGGCCTCTTCCCAGCAACTCACTAAACACCAAATCCCGAGACCAGGCCCCTCCCAGCATGTCAAGGCACCTTTGGCCCCTTGACATGCGCCCCTTACTCCCGCCCCTCTCGGGGCTCCCCTCGGCCTTTGCGCGACGGCTCCGACAGGAGGCCGCTCGTTCCTGAACCTATCTGTTACTTTGCTACGTTTCTGAAAACAAGCAAGGGGGGCGGGGAAACCCGAATCACGGAATTGCAATTTCATCGACGTTGCGATACACCACGCTGACAAATTTTGGCCATGGAGAAGCCGCGCCGCGCCCCAAGGAGCTTCGAGAGCCCCTCGGCAGTGGTTCTCGAAACATGACTTTGCTGTGACTTGCCGCTGTAGGACTAGTCGCTCAAGGCGC